ATAGCCTGTGCACATTTTATATATTATGTTTTACTTTTTCCAATATGTTAAACTAAACAGAAAATACGCACAAAATTTTAACCTCTTATAACAAAATCAAGCTGTTTTTGACATTTAAATCTTGTGCCCCTAAAACAGCGTCCAGCTGAAGGTGCTGAAAAGCTCTCCTGGTCCTCAGTCCCTGTCACTGTATGATCGAAGCAGAGCCACAATGACTCGACATGTGTGTATGACAGCAACCCACACGCGGCCATTTCCCCTCCGCAGGCGGTTGGCGCCGGACAATAGGAACCCATTAGGATTCCACTCAGCACTAATTAGAGGCCCTTTCTCCCCGGGCTCCTCTGCTGCTCACCTCAGTGGCCGTGTTCCAGCCGGGCCGGAGGGGTCGAAGCCCTTTTGTTTTTATCTGCATGTGGGATGCGGATTGGTCTTCCCTTTCTTTCCTTTTCCAATCATGGCAAAAGAGCAGCTTTTCAGGAGGAGGCTTTAAGTTAAAAAGCCAGCAGGATGAAGATTCATCCACAGCATGGAGAAGACTGCCTCCTCAGTGTGCCGTTTTTAAAGGGAACGACTGACCTTCTCCTATTCTGCATGGGCTCCGGCCTACAGCGAGATATAGATAGTTTTCAGAACGACTGATTGATTTCAGAAAAATCTAATAATGGTTAATGTTTTTAAAAGAAAATTTACCCAGGTTTCCCCACAACCTCAAATGGAGTTGATCATGCTTTAGTTTCTTTGGTTTTAGCACTGGAGATGCAAGGCTAATGTTGCTAACTCCTCCAATTAGCATGGTGCTAAGTGCATGGCTAAATCATCAGCCTTGCCTCATTGTCTTTATACCAAACTACACTCGTTGTCCATTTTATCAGCTTCACTGACCATATAGTTTTACTTTGTAGTTCTACAGTTACAGACTGTAGTCCATCTGTTTCTCTGCATACTTTGTTTCTTCAATGCTCAGGACCCCCACAGGACCCCCACAGAGCAGGTATTACTCGGGTGGTGGGTCATTCTCAGCACTGCAGTGACATTGACGTGGTGGTGGTGTATTAGTGTGTGTTGAGTTGATGCGAGTGGATCAGACACAGCAGTGCTGCTGGAGTTTTTAAACACTGTGTCCACTCACTGTCCACTCTATTATACACTCCTGCCTTATTGGTCCACCTTGTAGATGTAAAGTCAGAGACAATAGCTCATCTGCTGCTGCACATGTTTGTGTTGGTCATCCTCTAGTCCTTCATCAGTGGTCACAGGACACTGCACACAGGACGCTGTTGGGTGGATGTTTTTGGCTCTCAGTCCAGCAGCGACACTGAAGTGTTTAAAAACTCCAGCAGCACTGCTGTGTCTGATCCACTCGTACCAGTGCAACACACACTAATAGACCACCACCATGTCATTGTCACTGCAGTGCTGAGAATGACCCACCACCCAAAAAAATTACTTCTCTGTGGGGGTCCTGACCATTGAAGAACAGGGTAACAAAGTATGCAGAGAAACAGATGGACTACAGTCTGTAACTGTAGAACTACAAAGTGAAACTATATGGTCAGTGGGGCTGATAAAATGGACAATGAGTGTAGAAACATGAAGGTGGTTTTAATAAAATGGCTGATTTGTGTATGTACCTTGAATATGTACTTTACCCTTTTCATAATTTGGCAAAATAATATAATAAAACTGTGATAAATCCATGCACAAGCCCTCTATAAAAATCTGGAGGTATGTAATCTTGGTCTTCTTATTTGGTCTGTTGGCATGCTCATTTGGAAACATCTGAAACAATGTGGCCCTCAGTGAACTTCAGTGATTCAGGAAACTGACAAATGTTGGAACAAGTGGCAGAACAGATGCGCTGTGGTTGAGACTGGAGTTCTGCTTGGCATGATGCTAAGAGGCCTGTTGGCTGGTACGCCCAAGGCCGTCATGTCAAATCTCTGAGCCTGGGATAAAAATACAGCATATACATTGCTGTGCAGAAGCGTTTATATATATATATATATCTATATAACATTAGATTAAATTCAAATAAACATAAATGCTGTGGTCAGAAAGTGTTATTTTCAGTTAAGTTATGAATATGTTGGTCAGAAGAAAACAGCTTTGGTTCTCTTGGAATTTTTTTAAGTTTGATGTCATATGTAAACATTGTCAGTGTTTAAAAATCCCTTCACTCCTCACTCTAAATGGTCCATATATGGAATCTAAGCTGCAAAAACAGCCCATTTTCAATTTATCATTTTTCTTATGTCACAAAAACCAACACATTTTATATACTGCAGAAACTAGTATCTTGTTTAGTGAAATGATCTCAAATCTAGTTGATATCTAATATTTCCCATTTTGAGATGGTTGTGCACGTATCATAAGATTATCCATCTTATTTCTGGACATTTTTACTTGTTTTAGGTCATTTTATCAAGTAAAATTATCTCACTGTACTGGCAGATAAATTTGCTGATTTCATGCACATTTCTTAAAACAAGCAAGATAATCTGCCAATAAGGTGAGATAATTTTACTTAATAAAATTACTTAAAACAAGTAAAAATGTCTAGAAATAAAGTAAATAATCTTAAATTAAACTTACAATAATCCCAAATGGAGAAATATTGGATATACTGACTACATTTTAGATAATTTTCCTTGACCAGATACCATTTTTTTGCAGTGTATACACACCTATTCAGTATATAGCAGCTTAGCTCCGCCCGCTCACACTGAAGTTATAAGGAGTTTTTCAGCCCAGGCTGCTTTTTTGAATTAGGTGCAATACAGGACAGCCAATCAGAACAGAGCTCATTTACTTATATCAGTCTTATGGACACAGTAAGAAAACTTTAATTCTACACTGTCAGCAAAAAATACTCTGTGCAGGTACGTTTTTTACTCATCAAGATACAAACAGTGTAAATGTATCCTTGAAGGTATAACTGTTTTTCCCAAAAAAAGAGTATATATTTGAACCTTTTCATAACCTAACATTTTAAAATACACACACACACACACACACACACACACACACACACACACATACACACACACACACACACACACACACACTTCCTTCTGGGTCATGGGGGGAGCTGGAGCCTATCCCAGCAGCCTAACATTGGGCAGAAGGCAGGAAACACCCTAGACAGGTCACTAGTCCGTCACACGGCAGACAGACGTATACATTCACACACACACACACACACACACACACACACACACACACACACACACACACACTCACACCTAGAGGCAATTTAGCATGTCCAGTTGGCCTGACTGCATGTCTTTGGACTGTGGGACAGTGGTACCCACCGTGCCCCCGTTGTTTCAAAACACACACTCTAATACAACTTAGAAAATATAATTTCAATAGATTATGGTATATTGTGGTACAATTATGTTTTCTGACTAAAGGGACTGAAGATGTACCCCTGGGGGTTTCACCCCAATGACAGTTTATAACCTTTAACTCTGAGAGTGTAATGATTAAAAAGGAAATAGTGATGTAGAAATGAATTATGATTAGTTGTTGTTTATAAATCTATGCAAACATTAAAAGTTGACCTTTAAAAGGGGAAAAAACAATGCCAAAACACTATAAAGCAGAATCCGGGCCCTTTAAAGTTCCTTTGGTTTGACTGGCTGTTGGTGACTGAGTGGTGTTTTAGCAGGACGCACTGCCCCCTTCTGGTAGAGAAACAGAATGACGCAGTGCTCAAAGTTGGAAGACTCGGGTTTGAGCAGATCGACACAGCTAATACATTTTATAAAATTAAAAAAATAATATTCACACAGTTTGTTCACTCTGTGGCAAATACCCAGAGACAGTTATGCACTTATTGTGACATTGCCAATATGTGAAAATCATAATATTGGTAATCATAGTATTGATGAATACACATTTTTTTTAGAAACACCCAACAAATAAATGCTGTGGAACACTTACCCTAGAAATAACATGCACACATTACTGAACACACTGTAGTGTTATTTATTATGAAAAAACATGTTAGTGGGTATTTTGGAAAATCACAGAGATAAATGTGCTCTTGTATATATGAAAAACATTATACTCTTAATGGCTATCCCTACTGAAAAACTAAGACCATTAGAACCATTGGGATTCAAACCTGATGATTTTGCTTGATAATGGGAATTGGCTTAATGGTTACAATTAGAGGGACACATTTAGATCCTATTAGGAAACCTTCAAATGCATCCCGTATCAGTCCGAGAGCACCAGATACACAATTAGAGTCCTTTACACTGTTACATCAACCCATCAGGAGGACACAGAATTTCCTTAGTGACTGTTGGACACCAGCAGAACCTTTTAATGGGTTCTGATTTTCTTCAGCAGGAAGATTTTACACTCACAAGCGTAAATTATCAAACAAAAGGCCTCATTTTAAAAAATTTTCTTTGCGTGGTGAAATGGTTCTTCAGATTGATCGAGAATGTGTTATATATGGTTCTATATAGAACCTTTTTTGAAAAGGGTTCTTAATAGCACGAAGAACGGTTCTTCTATTGTTACAGGCTTGATATCGTGGTGCTATAGAACACATTTTCCATCAATTTAAGCATGCAAAGGGTTTTTTTGAATGTTCATGGTTCTATTTATAACTATTATGTTCCCAAAAGAACCCTTTTAGAAGCATCTTTTTTACATGCTATAACAGTAAACAAATGATCTTTACTAAAGAACCATTTTAGGACCATGTTTTTAACAATGTAGTTCAATGTCTGTGTGTAGCAATGTGCGTATGTCCCTCCAGCAGATTTATTCAAGTCGTTTTACTGCTTTTATGTTTTGCTTTCACTAAAAAGAGATAAAAACCTTAAAAACGTTAAATATCACTTGTATAAATTCACAGAGACAGTGAGAGCGGAGATAAACAGACTGATCTCAGCAGTTTGTATTTATTTCGTGTTTATTTCTCTGTTTTTTCGTCTTTGTGTCAGTTATCAACGCAGACTCAGTGCGCATGCGCAAAGGCAGCAGCAGAAGCAGGAAATGGAGCAGGAGCTTAAGCGTGGAGTGAGAATATCATCTCTGATTTACAGCACAGAACTGTAATGATATTTCTGCAGAGCAGCTGGAGCAGAACCCTCAGTGCTTTAGCTGTGATCGTCGCAGTGCTCGCAGCGATTTTTCACTACACGGGCAGTCCAGAGACAGAGGAGTATCCGAGGTACAGGCTGTGTGTATATCTGTGTCTATCTGTGACTGAAGGGCGGTTAAGCTCTAATACCTGACTTACATGCTGATTTATTAAACATTAGCGATGTAAGATGAATCGTTTCTGTGTCGAAATCGCAGTTGGAGAGAGTGCAATTTCCAAATCGATAGAGCTGCAATTTTTGTTACAGAATACATTATCAACAATGTTGCCTTAACAGGGTTCAAATGAGAAAATGTAACCTTGGAACACAGAGCTTGTGAACTGCCTGTAGATCAGCTAGGTTAGATCATTTAGAAGCAATCAAACAACCATCTTCTGCATATGTGACATCACAACCACAACCACAACCACAACTAACAGGTAGTCTGTCTGACACACTCAGTGTTCAAGCTTCATGCCAGAAAAAGTGAATATTCTGGTCTCCGTGGACACAAAACAGGCCTGGGAATTAATTTATAAAAAATAATTGCATCTAAATCGCAATTGCAATCGCAGTATTGGTCAGAAAATTACATATTTTCTCCAAATCGCTAAGCCCTAGTAAAAAGTGTACCGCTTTAGTAAATACTGAGCAGTTTCGTTCACTGGCCACTTTATTAGCAACACCCACCTTCTTCTTCCACTGACTGGCCACTTTATTAGAAACATCTTTTGCTGCCACTAACTGGCCACTTTATTAGAAACATCTTTTGCAGACTGAGGGTTAGACCTGGTAGGCCCAAGCGAATAGTGAGGGTGTGCTGGGAACGACTGTCGGAGGCCCCTGTTCGGAATGATTTTAACTCCCACCTCCGGGAGAGCTTTTCTCATGTCCCGGAGGAGGTGGGGGACATAGAGTCTGAATGGACCCTGTTCAAAACCTCCATTGTGGAAGCTGCCAGGCACAGCTGTGGCCAAAAGCTTGTCGGTGCCTGTCATGGCGGTAACCCAAGAACCCCCTGGTGGACACCGGTGGTGAGGGAGGCCGTCAAGCTGAAGAAAGAGGCCTTTAGGGACTGGATGGCCCGAAGGACTCCCGATTCAGCAGATAGGTACCGACATGCAAAAAAGGTGGCAGCTGCAACGGTGGCAGAAGCAAAATCCAGGGCGTGGGAGGAGTTTGGTGAGGCCATGGAAAAAGACTTTCGGTCGGCCTCGAGGAGGTTCTGGACAACTGTCCGGCGACTCAGGAGTGGTCGGGGTGACTGCGCCCAGGCTGTATTCAGCAGGGGTGGAGAAACTCTGACTTCAAATGAGGATATTGTCGGTCGGTGGAAAGAGCACTTTGAGGAACTCCTTAATCCGGGTGACATGCCTCCTTCACGGGAGTCAGGGCCAGAGGCCTCTGGCGTGTCAAGCTCCATTTCCCTGGTGGAGGTCACTGAGGTAGTTGGCAAGCTCTTCAGTGGCAAGGCACCGGGGGTGGATGAGATTCGTCCGGAGATGCTTAAGGCTCTGGATATTGTGGGGCTGTCGTGGCTGACACGCCTCTGCAATAGTGCATGGACCTCGGGAACAGTACCCTTGGACTGGCAGACCGGGGTGGTGGTCCCTATTTTCAAGAAAGGGGACCGGAGGGTGTGTGCCAACTATCGGGGTATCACACTGCTCAGCCTCCCTGGGAAAGTCTATGCCAAGGTGCTGGAAAGGAGACTTCGGCCGATAGTTGAACCTCAGATTGAGGAGGAACAATGCGGATTCCGTCCTGGCCGTGGAACAATGGACCAGATTTTCACCCTCTCACAGATTGTTGAGGGGGCATGGGAGTTTGCCAACCCAGTCTACATGTGTTTTGTGGATTTGGAGAAGGCTTACGACCGTGTTCCCCGAGATATCTTGTGGGAGGTCCTCCGGGAGTATGGGGTGCCGGGGTTACTACTCCGGGCCATTCAATCTCTGTACGCCCGGAGTGAGAGCTGTGTTCGTATACTCGGCATTAAGTCGGACTCTTTCAGTGTTAGCGTTGGACTCCGCCAGGGTTGTGCCCTGTCTCCACTCCTGTTTGTGATATTCATGGACAGGGTGTCAAGGCGTAGCCGGGGTCAGGAGGGCATTATGTGTGGAGGCCGGAGGGTGGCGTCTCTGCTATTTGCAGATGATGTTGTTCTTTTGGCTGGATCACATGGATGCCTCCAGCGCACACTGGAGCGGTTTGCAGCTGAGTGTGAAGCGGTTGGTATGCGGATCAGCACCTCCAAGTCTGAGTCCATGGTCTTAGCCCGGAAAAGGATGGTATGCCCACTCCAGGTAGGGGGAAAGGACTTGCCCCAGGTGGAGGAGTTTAAGTATCTCGGGGTCTTGTTCACGAGTGATGGGAAGAAGGATCGTGAGATCGACCGCAGGCTGGGACAAGCGGCAGCAGTAATGCGGTCGCTGTACCGGACTGTAGTGGTGAAGAGGGAGCTGAGCCGTAAGGCGAAGCTCTCTGTTTACCGATCGGTCTACATCCCGACCCTCACCTATGGTCATGAGCTGTGGGTAATGACCGAAAGAATGAGATCGCGAATACAAGCGGCAGAAATGAGCTTTCTTCGCAGGGTGGCGGGCTACACTCTATTTGATAGGGTGAGGAGCTCGGCCATCCGGGAGGAGCTCGGAGTAGAGCCGCTACTCCTCCGCATTGAGAGGAGCCAGCTGAGGTGGTTCGGGCATCTGATCCGGATGCCCCCGGGACGCCTCCCGGTGGGGGTGTACCAGGCACGGCCTACCGGAATAAGACCCCGGGGTCGTCCTAGGACCCGCTGGAGGGATTATATCTCCAAGTTGGCCTGGGAGCGGCTTGGGGTCCCCGGGAATGAGCTGGAGGAAGTTGCGGGGGACAGGGTCACCTGGGATTCTCTGCTCTCCCAACTGCTACCGCGACCCTATCTGGACTAAGCGGTTAACGATGATGATGATGATGATGATCTTTTGCTTCCACTAATTGGCCACTTTATTAGCAACACCCACCTTCTGCTTCCACGGACTGTCCACTTTATTAGAAACATCTTTTGCTTCCACTAACTGGCCACTTTATTAAAAACATCTTTTGCTTCCACTAACTGGCCACTTTGTTAGATATTATTTGAGTGGTGATCTGTTCTCTGCATAGCACTGAATTCATTTACATGCAGTTAATATTCTGATAACTATATCAGATTGTGTCAGTAACTGGTTCAGTGTGTTTTCATGCACTTGAGTAATCAGATAATGGGGAAACTCCAGGTCTACATGAGTCAGGCAGTAATCGGATTTCTGCTTTACAGACAGCCAATAAACTCACAGAATAAGATGTGACGTAAACTTAATGTAAAACTTAAACATCATGCTGCATCTTTTTTTTTTTAAACATTGTGTCACTTTAGTGGAAAATATGAACGTATATCATCTAGAAGATGAAGAATATTTAAATCTTTCATTTGATTGAGCATGTAGTCGGTTTCTGTGTTGCTTCAAAAGTGTTGTGTTGCCTGTTTTAACACATGAGAGAAACGAAAGAAATCAGAGTGAGGGTTTACATGCATTGAAAAATACCATTACTGAGCTCAAATCCGGCCTCTTTATCAGATTTCTTAATCAGATTATAAAGTGCATGTAAACACACTCACTGTGTAACTGTCCAAAACATCTAAGCAGGAGCAGCTCTGTGGTCAGACTGGGACTTTTGATGAAGCGCTTGAGCAGTTGTTTTCAATCCCAGTCCTGTGAGCTCACTGCTCCGCACAGTTTCAGGTACAAACTGTGCATCAACACATGGGCTGCAGTTTCTAAATCAGAGGTATACAAGGTCTGGCCCCAGGGCCAAATGCGGTCTGTGCACAGATTTTAATCAGCCCGTGTCTTCTGTTTGAGAGTGTGTTATTCGTGGCCCTCCAGCCAGTATGCTGCAGTTCTTCCTTTTACCTGATTGGGGCAGCAGTGCTGTTAATTTACAGTGTAATGCTGCACTGCAGTAACAAAGTTAGCTAAAGTTTAAGAGCCTTTCTTCTCTGGCTGACCTGCAGCTTCATTTAGAGGTCAGTAAATTTCATATTTCAAAAGACTGTAATGAATTTAATATCAACAGACATGAAACACAGCATGAACATTACAGTAAATATTCAAGAGAGAAACTAAAGCAGTTAACGCTAAAGAGAAACTAAAGAGTCTCACAGCCGACTTCTTATCAGAGCAAATTCAGCAGGTCAGTAAATAATGACGCTTTGAGGTGGAACAATAACGACTATTTATGCCATTTAACCTCTTCTTTTCCTTTAATAAAGAGATTTCTGAATGAGGTTGCTGCATTTATATAATATGTAAAGAACATGATCTAACAAACCGAAAAATGTATAGATTTTTGTTTAGTCTCATAAATTATATTATTGAACAAGTAAACACTTGAATAAGAATATAATTAATACATTAGACATGGTTTAGTGTTACTCTTAAACCGTTTAATTATTATTAAACAAGCTTATTTTATTTCCTAACTGCTCTGAGAAATCCAACAGTAACAGAAGTCTTGTGCATCTTTTCTACAGTGATGGGGAAACTCTGCTATTTTGAAAATTTTTTATTTTGAAATAGTTGTGAATAATATTTTGGCACTCAGGTGTTTTGATACGGTATGATCTGGCCCTTTTTGGGAAAAAGTTTGGATAACCCTGGTCTAACTGTACACCAGCAAGCAGGAGCAACAAGGGAGAAGTTTCTGACAGAGTAAATAATGCTTGTAGGCTGTCCACCCACTACAAATGCATCTACACATCTACACAATAATATTGCATTATTTCGGGAAATTTTCACAATTCACAGTATGTCAAGATATTTATTTTTTCAGAGGTCTGATCAGTTGGAACAAAGAAAAAAGAGCCAGTAGAGCTACATTTAAAAAATACTATCAAAAACTGTCAACACAATTATTTTTATTCAGTATTTGTCACTAAATCTAGTTAAACAGGACTAATTTTGCTCTATTTATAATGAAACATGCAGTTGTTCAGTTTCTACAAGTACTGGTGATACACACGATATGATCAGCAAAGCATATTGTGTTGTATTATGTCATCACAATAACGAGGTATAGTGTTGCCCAGTCTTATAGGCAAAATTTGCATAATTATTTCTAGCTGCAGAAACAAATGCCTCTGTTTTGTGTTCTGAAGGATGGATTTGCAAGCAATGGAGGACAACTTCAGACAGAAGAATAAAAGCTGTTTCATTCTGGGTGCGTCTGGAGAGACAGGAAGAGTGCTGCTGAAGGAAATCGTGGAGCGCAATCTTTTCTCTAAGGTCACTCTCATTGGGCGGCGGAAGCTGACCTTTGAGGATAAAGCCTACGAGAATGTGGTAATTATGTTGGTTACATTATGTCTGTTTTCATATACGTGAGAGTGTGCACACAGGTTTGTGCTGCTTTGACCTGTGATTTACTTGTGTTTTCTGCTCATTAAGGTTCAGGAGGTGGTGGATTTTGAGAAGCTGGAAGATTACGCTGCAGCATTTCAGGGCCATGATGTTGGGTACTGCTGTCTTGGAACAACCAAAGCCAAAGCAGGAACTGTGAGTGTCCAACGCAGAAGACTCACCTGAACAGAGTGATGCCCTTTACACTTCTAGACAATAACATAATAGTAACAATAACATAGTTTTTAAAGATGGAATTTTCTTGCTTTTTTGGAGTAAGAGAGTTTGATGTAGCATAGGGCTGGGCAACATGACAGCCTATGTCATTATCATGATAAATTATGTCACAATAAAATACAGTATACTTTTCTGATGTGGCGTATATCGTCAGTACTTGTAGACACTGACCAACTGCATGATTAATTATAAAGAGAGCAAAATTTATCCCGTTTTGTCCCCCTGGATTTAGTGACAAATACTGAATAAAATTCACTGTGTTCACAGTTTTTGACAGTATTTTTTAAAATGTTTTAAAACTCTTAAAAATGGTTCTTCAAGGGTCCTTTTAATAAAGATAATGGTTTTATATAGAATCAAAAAGGGTTCTTCTATTGTTACAAGCTTGACATCGCCACACTAGCAGAACCCTTTTCAAAAAAGGTTTTATATATACCTGTCTACAACACATTCTCCGTCAATCTGAAGAACGCTTTCACAATGCAAAGAACCCCTATAAGCATGCAAAGGTTTCTTTGAGTGTTCATGGTTCCAGATACACTTTCAAACATAAAGGTACTAAACTGTCACTCTTGTCACTGGGGTGGTACTCTCAAGGGTACATCTCAGTACCTTTAGTCAGGGAACATAATTGTACCGTAATCCAATTAATTTTATATTTTCTAAGTTTTCTCATCTCCAGACTTTTTATTTTATTGTTCTGTTTTAAAACATTAGGTTATGAAAAGGTGCAAATATGTACTTTTCACCTGGAAAAAACTTTTTTAAGGTTCACAATTGGACCTTAAAACCACTATTGTACCTTTGAGGGAACATTTACACAGTTTGTACCTTGATAAACATAAAATGTACCCTTGCAGAACCTTTATTTCTAACATTGTAGATTCATTTTCTTTACTAAAGAACCCTTGAAGAACCATCTTTTTTTATAAATGTAGCTGTAAAGGTTCCTTTTTTTCTCTGTTCCAACTGATCAGATGTCTGAAAAAATAAATATTCTGACATTGTGTACCATGAAGATTTCTTGAAGTATTACATTATTATATTTTTGCTGTATTGTCCAAAAACAGAATGAAAAGAATGAAATTTTATTTACATTTTTTCATTTTATTGCTTGAAATTTTGAGCCCAGAGTTGATGAAAATGTGGCTAATGTGAACGAATGTTGTGAAATGTTGCAGGAGGGGTTCATTCGAGTAGATCATGATTATGTTCTGAAGTCTGCGGAGCTTGCCAAAGCCGGGGACTGCGCACACTTCCACTTGGAATCCTCTAAAGGAGCCGACAAAACCAGCAGCTTCCTCTACCTGAAAACCAAGGTAAGACACGTGGAGCTGTTACTCACAGGGACACTGATTAAAGGTGCAGTGTGTAAGATTCAGACGGATCTATTAGCAGAAATGGAAGATAGTTTACAAAACCATGCTTTTATTAGTGTATAATCACCTGTAACTACGAATCTATCTATCTATCTATCTATCTATCTATCTAATAATTATAATGAATAAAGGTTCAACATCTTGAATTATTTTTATTATGTAATCACTTCACAATGATGATGATGATGATGATAATAATAATAATAATAATTGTAAATAATGTAACAAATGTAATTAATAAAATGTAATTGTTATAATTATTATTGATATGATTATTAATACAAATTAAATAAAGTATACATCAAATTAAGTTCACACTTTACTAAATAAATAAATACTTAAATAAGAAGTACATGATGAAAAGTACAAAAACAATAGATTCATGAAAAAACAAAGGTTATTAAATTGTTTTTACCCACTTAATGAGTTTATGTGCTGTGATTGGTGTTTCTGTTGGTAAATTGTTTTTGCTGCAGTAAACAACTTCAAACATTACATTTTGTTTACATTAACATCAAGAAATACTGTATACCACGTCTTGTTGTTGTTGTTATTATTATTGTTATTGTTATTATTATTATACACTGAAATTGCTCCATGCTTTACATCATTGATGTACTTCTACCTGAAAAAGTACAGCGCAGAGTTTGGAGCTGCATCTTTATCACATCATTTTGAGATGATCTATAATGGCTCAGGTGTGTCTTTATTATTGGACAGCCGAAATGAAAGGAGGTCAGATGATCTTCTCGTGCCTGAGCAGCTCACTTCTAGTGGCCGCATGCTGGAAGACTAAAGCTGGGAGCCTGGAATGATGTTTCTCTGTTGGTGTTTTGCAGGGTCAGGTTGAAGCAGACATAGCAGAGCTGGGCTTTGAGCGCTACTCCATCTACAGGCCTGCGTGCGTTATTACACTTTCACCTTTTCACTTTCTTACAAGTTTTACAATTCTGTGTTTGACTGGAGTACAAATTTACACTGAGTACCATAACCTGTTTTATTTTTAATATTAAAGCAATTGTGAGGCCAGTAAAAAATACATAAATTATTATGTATTTGATTTAGCTTATTGTTTTTCCCCCATGTATTTTAAGATAATCCACGACTGATTTTCAGTTTCAAGGTACTATAAGCAAAAAAACAATTACATATTTATTAATTTCTTACTTTTTTATATTAAAACATTTGATTGGCTAAAGGTCATTTTTAGATATCTTGTTGTGTATTTATTTTATTGTTTTCCTCCCATGAATAGCACTAGACCCAAAAGACAAATAGGTTTTGCTTTTATTTTTCATTATGGTATTTTGAGGCTCTGTCAATTAGTTTTTTGGTCATAATAAAAAAGATCTCCTAAAAAAGCGTTCTTTAGTAAAGGCATTGGTTCTGGTTAGAATCATGAGTTCTATATAGGACCATTTCCCGCATAAATAGTTCTTTTTATGAATAAATGGTTCTTCAGATTGATGGAGAACGTGTTGTGTATGGTTCGGATACCAAAAGGGGTTCTGCTACTGTTATTATGTCAGGCTTGTAACAATAGCAGAACAAATTTTGGTGTTGTATAAAAACCATATACCCCATCAATTGTATAAAAACCATATACCTCCATCAATCTGAAGAACCATTTTACCATGCAAAGAATAGAACCATTTCATTTACGAAAGAACCCTTGAAGAACCATCTTTTTTAAGTGTGTACTGTTATTTTAAGTCTATGGTACATTATATTCTTTAATTCTGAGCTCCATTTCATGTATTATTTGTGATTGGGATGTCTATGCTGTCGTTGGTTTTGGAGATAATTGTTGTTCACTTGTCCCCCAGGGTTCTCCTGGTGGACAGACAGGAGAGCCGGCCGGCTGAGTGGATGGCCCGGAAGTTTTTGGGTGCATTTTCCTCCGTTTTTTCCACAATGTCCATTCCCATCACCACTGTGGCCCAAGCCATGGTGACCAACACGCTCACTGACGGAGTTGCAAAAATGGAGATCCTCGAAAACAAAGCAATTTACAACCTGGGCAACATCGGAGAAAAACAGTGACCTTTATGATTGCTTTAAGTGCTTTCATTGTGTGTAATTATATCTTATCTTGGTGCTACAGAAAGGGCCGCTTTGTGAGGTGTGTTTATCATCGCATCATATTCTGTTTACAAACTTAAAATTGTGCACTGCCTTAAATTCATAAATAAGGGATATTTCTGCTTGTCTGTGGAGAGGCTTTTAAAGCCTTTATTTATGCTTATTATTGTGAACTTTGAACTCTTCTGCTGTTTATTGTTTTTAATAAATCAGGGACACAATAAACTTGTGCACTGATATGAATTGGGCTCCATTTGTCTCCACAAAAAAGCTGTGTGAAAAAGGAAGGAGCTGCTGTCGGAACAAGATGTCCATTTTTGTTTTTCAGTTTCTGACATAATTTGAAAATGCCTGTGGTTCTATAGTGTGTAAATTTCATGATGAATGGACGGGAAGAAACAGCCCAAAATGACTTGGAAAAAAGTCTGATTCCATTGACTTACATTAAAAATGAAGTATGTTTTTACCTTCTCTTGTAAAGTTGGCACTTTGAAGATTCAAGATTTTGTTCTGACAGCTTCGACGTGTTATTATAGAACTCGTGCTTCTAAATAGACCCATTCTCTTAATTAAAGAACCCTTGAAGAACCATCCTTTTTAAGAGTGTACCTAAAGCCCCAAAGCAGACCAGCAGCACTGGATACTAGTAGATCTCCACCTTCTTCCCTAAGGTTTGGCAACAGCCATATGCAGTCTATTCCTTTGGCTGGTGTTAGTGGCACAGCAGATAGCAGAAAACCTGCAGCGAGCCATTTTAGAGCATGTCGAGCATGGAAAACTTAAAGTCATTGACAACAAACTGGGGAGGTACAACAAGGCAGTGGGCCCCTGGCATTCCCACTGTGTAGTGGTGCATCTCATAGCACTGGCTATCCCAGCAAATGGAGGAAGCCTGGAGTGGGCAGCGAAGGGGCACATCATACAGGGTGCGCATTTAGGTCTTTATACCCTTCTGAAAAACCATGTCATACTGGTCTAAGCTGAGCTGGTTTATGCTGATCTAGTGCTGGGCTGGTGCTGGTTTAGCTGGTCACCCAAGCATATATTTCAGCCTAATCTATTTAGTTAATGTGCCTTTGACTTTGTGCTGTAGATTTGGCGCCGCTTGTGGCTGCATCGCGCAGCTGCAGCTTTTGCGCGACCCGGAAGCATCTGAGCAGTCAGCATGGCGGAGCCCACAGACACACGTGAGAGAGCAAAGATGCTGAATTATCTGTTTATTAAAACCTGTATTTCAGTCAGGAGCTGCACAGTTTTAACGTTTATGAAGTATTTATTTGATTTTCTTCCGGTGTTTGTTTATTTAAGCTTATTTAAGTGAAGCTCCCAGCTGATGTAATAGTTTTTAACTCTCGCAGATTATTAAATCTTTCTAAAAAAAACACTATACGTGTTAACTTAAGGGTTTAAACTAAGGTTTTATGGTTGTTTTGTGGCTGCTGAATTCTGCTGGCTTTTTAATGTTTAACTTTTTTTTGTTGCTATTGTCTTTTGGATGCTTTGCTTGTTGTGTGGTTTTGCTGTTGCTGCCAAACGAAAATCTGATATATGCCAGTAGATGGATGTGAATTATATCACGTGTTATCACGTATGGATTTTCCTTTTATATCCAACTCATATTTGTCGCATAAAAACGTGTATGTGACATGTATACCATCGTATTTGAAATTGACCGTTTTCAAATATGGGACACATTTCAGCCATATATCAACATGTTACACACATATGTTTATACACTAACCTATATGATAGAAAATATTATTCGTATATAGATTATGCTGATATTACTCATATGTTCTAGGTTTATATTATATAACAAAAGGTTTTTATGTATCTCCACATACTTCCAAATGAAGTGAAAATTATTAGAATAGCCAACATGAGATTAATGAATTTTTAGTTCCCTGACAGATTTTAAAGAAAATAGTTAACATAGTAACTATTGTAACTGCACTGGGATATATTCAGCAATAAACCAGACATCTATGCATGATCCATGTATTATGTGCACAACATATACATCCATATATTTTAAAATATATGCTGCTCTTTATGATAAACATGCATACATAGCCACATGTCAGATTTCCATATGGACATTCATGCTTGTATTTGTTGTTCTTATTTGTGTTTAAACTCCGTGTCAGAAAGTTTTCCGTCTGTGTTCCATGTGACGGAGGGTAAAGTTTTGATGTTTCTGACTGTGGTTCTGCAGATTATGATGAGATCCCTGATCTGTCCCTCAGTGAGGGTGAGGAGGATGATGATGATAATGATGAGGAACAATGGCAGTGGATGGAGGAGGAGGCTGATGGCGTGTCAGTGTTCTGCCTTTTCTGTCAAAGGTAACAGCAAACCACATTGATAAAGTGCACTGATTTTACTTGAAATGTGAACATTGGTTCCACAAGAATAAAATATATTACATCAACTCAGTCGTTTCCAAAATTGAGTAAACTGAAAGAAAACTTATGTAACAAGTAACATATTTTATTCATGTGAAACCAATGCACAAATTTTAATCAAATAAAGTATTTGCATTATTTTTCAGTTTTCAGTGCACCATAATGCTTTGTTTATTTCAAATTAGGTCAGTTCTGATCCACTACCCCTCCCTTCCTAATTTTTTTCCAAACATATCACAGTATTATGGTGCCAGATGATTTACGTTTACTTTAATAACATTAACAGATCTATTAGTAAAGCCAGTGTGATAGCATTAATAAAATTAATGAGCTTATGCTTCTTGAGTGCTGCTACTCTGTGCTCAAAGAATGTCTTACAAACTTGACGTAACTTGATTGACTGGACTGTTCTGTTTTCTCTCAGAATTGCACAGAAGGCAACATTACACAGTATTATAAAAATTAATCACACACAATTTCCAGAAAGGAAACATGCTATTTACTTATTTTTCACAATAATTTAAAGCACTCAGCAACCTAGTGTTTGTTATTTATCAGTGTTGTTAATGCTAAAAATCAACAAGTAGCATCATTATCTTTATGCCGGAGTAGATGATATGTTGCCCAGCACTAAGGTTCTTGTTTCTATTAAAGTTATGGTGTGTAAGAATTAGTGTCATCTAGTGGTGAGGTTGCAGATTACACCCAGCTGAATCTCTCTCCCTCATCCCTCCCTTTCCAAGCATGTAGTAGAAACTGCGGTGGCTGTCAGATTTTCTGCCGTCGTCTGTCCCGATCTCGTTTTGCTTCTTCATGTTTTCTCTTCTTTGATGGTGAGGATTCACCCTCCCTCACTTTTTCTTGTGCTAAATAATAAGTCTGATCCTCCATTTGTCAAAATTTGGGTTCTCAAACTTCTCACAATACAAAATGTTTAGCCAGCACCGGCAGCGACCACTGATTTGTCTTCTTTCTGCGTCTTACAACTGGAGCTACAGTGCCACCAAATTCACTATGGTGACTATGGTGTGTCACACAGGCAACCAGCCCAGGAAGCCTCAAAGGCCGGAATAGTCCTCAGCCACGAAGGGGGAGCATCACCCAAACAGCCAGTCTAAAATATCTCTGAGCCACGGGTGGAAAATCACTCTCGGTTGCTATCTCGGTGGAATGATGTCAAACTCCTCAGCCAGCAGGGAAACTTTAAAACATTCACACAAACAATACGAAACAAAACAAACGGAAAACCGATGTAAAGCGGCAGCCATATTGCGCCGGCGTATTTACAATGGAATGAACACGCACATGCGCGCACACGCACACACACATACAAACCCATGTAAAACATGGCGGCCTCTGTTGGAAGAGGAGCCGCTCCCTATGTAGATATGAAGCGCTCATTCTAAGATAATGAAAACACAACAGTTCACTGTTTGCTGGGTAGTTCAGATTGTTTTGAAAGAATGGTTCAAAATACATGAAAAGAAACTGGAACTGTTCTCTGTGTCTGTTTAATGTTTACAGTAGTGTGTAAGGTTTCCAAAGAGAGTAAACAGTCCAGTCAAAACAAACTATGACAGGTTTGTTAAACATTTAGAGTACCAAGTGTGGGCTCATTAACTTTATTAATGCTAACGTTAACTTTACTAATGCAGAGTTGAATTAACTTTAGCTTTATTCATGCTAACTTAAACATAATGTGATACAACAATATGATGATATGATCATACTGTAATAAGTAAAGTACTATAAGTACTATAATGCTAAATTTGATCAATATAGTCCAGAATTCCTATCAAATCAGACTCAGTAATCAATGTCTGTTCTGTCCAACAGGTCACTAAACTCTGTCCCTGAAACTTTCCAACACTGCCAGTCAGATCATGGTGTGAACATCCTACAGCTGGTAAAAGCCCACCGTAAGTGAACAATTAAAACATTTAATTGCATTATTAATTTGCTTGTGTGGTGGGCAGTATTGAAATTATTTACAATTATTTTTTTTATTTGCAATAATTCTTCACCAGGACTTGATGACTATGGATACATAAAGATGATAAACTACATTAGAACTGTGGTAAGTTTTTTCTGTGGCTCTTTTATTTACAAAAAAAGAAACACATACAACAGCAGAACCATGGCCCTCATTCTCCAGTATCTTCCTAAGTTTGTTCTTAAATGTGTTCTTGAGTGTGTGTAGATTCTGTTTTATCTAAGAACAAATCCCAAATAAGAAAACATTGGTGAATCTCAGAATCTTCCTGAAAAGTGTTTTTTTTTGCTTTGTTGTAATTCTTCTTAAGATCAGTTGGAGAATGAGACCCAATATTCCGAAACCACTGGTACCAGTTGTAGAAAGTCATAGAAATTTTGTCACAATAAAAAAAATATCTTGTTTGTTTTAGCTTCATTTAAATGTAGTAGTATTGTTTTTTTTTTGTTTTTTTTTTGTCCATTTATGCTTCCATAGATCATCCATAGATATTTTTATTACAGGATCCAAGAATGACAGCATGCTTTTGTGGATGTGTTTTGTTCTGTAGAAGTGCAGTGGAGAGACTCTGGCTGTGTTAGATGGTGCTTTGCCGTGGGACAGTGATGAGTTCATGAAGCCGGCTTTGCCTGATGATCCTCTGCTGCAGATAGGTACAGAAAACGGGCTAAAAACACACTTTCACTGTACTGCCTGTCAGTGAGTTGGACCAGTCAGTGGCAACCAAACCTCCGTGTGTTGTGACATCACAACCACAACTTACTGGCAGTCTGAGACACTGGACTCAGGGGTCAAGCATGAAACCAGAAAAAGTGGATGTTCTGGTCTTCTTGGCCAAAAGAAACCTTTTAAGCCTGAACCTTGATTTATACAGGGAGATTCACTCGAAAGAGGCCCTGAATATTCTGTAATAACTCTCGCTAGGACGAATCAGTCTGAACGAAACCACATGCAATGTGCTCCTCAGTATATGGAGCTTTGAACAAGCTGGGATGCCCCTGCGTCGGAGCGATGAGGTAGGCGCCGGACAGTCATTGCGACGGTTAACCTCCATATGCAACTTCCGGGTGCGTACCCTCGTATCCCTTCATGTGTCTGGCAGAAAATGTAGAAAGTAATCGGAATTTAAATTGCAGTCGCAATATTAGTCAGAAAATTCACAATTAGATCTTTTCCCCAAATCACTGAGGTATAAGTCTTCATATGCAACATTTTAGGTGCATTCCAGTCGGCCTCTTAGTTCCCTGGGAAGTAAACTGCACAGGGTATTCAGACATTTTAAGGGTGATTCTAAACCACAGGGAGTGAAAAGTTCCATTGGAAGGGAACTTCAAGCTGCACAGAGAGTAGTGAACAATTGTAGTGAACTTCACATTAAACTGCAGGAAAGTTTACCCATCCGTCACTGCACACCTCTCGAAGATGTGTGTCTGATTATGAAGCTGCAGAACATTACGACTGAAGGTATTTATGAACTGCGGTCCCTTAACCGACATCTCAAGCTCAGGTGTGTAGGGAATATAATGCCAGGATCAGACTGTACGAAGGTGAGGCCGGAATATGAGCGTCGGGAATGATGAACGGGTCTTGTAGTATGACTTGGAAAAACAGTGATGCGGCATCTGGGACGCTCACTGACACCCTGACGAAAAGTTCAGCATGTCAGAATTTTTTGTATTTTCCTACCTAATTTGACATCTCCTATGACACATTCCTTGACGTTAACCAACAGGTTCTGTCTGCTACAAAGATGTAAACACGATGGAGAGAAAGGGCGACACTGCTGTTGCAGATTTATGGTAAAACAGTGACACAGAGGAAAGGTTCGTTGAGCTGTGGCAGCAGAACCCCTCAAGGGAGAACCATGACAGAGTCCGAAAAGAAAAACATTGGAGAGAACAAGCGTTATAGCGTCTGTTTACATACAGTGAACATAGCAGCTACATTTATATGATGTTCTTTATATGTTAACACATTTGTTACCTCAAGTTCTCTTTGAAGGACAATCAGCCCACACTGTCGTCTTCTGACACCCAGGAATGGCTCCAAAATCGCTTTTTCTTTTTTTTCTTTTTCTTTTCAGAGCGCAAAACTGCCAGCATCACATTGGGCCTCATTCTCCAATCTGTTCCTAAGTTTGTTCTTAAATGTGGTCTTGAGAAAGGACCTAAGAAAAAGTCCATGTCAGATTCATGAGCAGAACTGTTCTCACCTTTGTGCTCTTGAGTGAATGTCAGAGTCTTCGTCACAACTGCGCAAGTGAAATGTCTCAAACTTGTAGTGCTGCAAGTCTACCGACTAAAACATGCAGAGAATTTGTGGCACTATGATTGTCTAATCTGACATAGTGACCATTGTGAAAGACAAAAATATCATGTAGACTGATTCCGACATTAGGGAACCTGTGAGATGGAATGCAGCTCTTGTGTTTCATCAGCTGTGGTCTGAGGTGTGTTGTACTGTCCTGCAGATTTGGAGGAGCTGGTTGGGGCTGAGTTGGTAGTGGATGCTGCGGTGAGCGGTCAGGCTGAAGCTTTGCTCCAGAGAGCTCGGCAGGCGGAAGAACAGGCTGCACGATCGGAAGAGGCTCTGACCCGCGCCATGGAGGACCTACAGAAACTCAAGTGAGTTTTACTTTTACCAGGAACGTAACCCAGTTTCGGTACATGCCGTTATCATTTCCTACTTATGGAGAGCTTCTGTCCTTCTGCTCAAAGGGGAATTCTGCCAATTAAAAAAAAAAATCTGTATAATTAAATAGCTATGAGGTAAACAGTCATTCAGATTGGTTTGGTGTGAAATGCTCTGTTGTAGAGAAACTTACTGAGTCAGAATTGTTCACAGTGGTGATGATAGGAACCAGATGTCCATCTCTAAAAGCTCCCTCACTGAAAGTTATTACATGAAATGGTTATGAATTCACTGCCTCATGACTGAGACGCTGTTTTATGATAGTTTTGAGAACTTGAACTCTATTCATGGTGGAGGGATACATGCAGGGTGCTGTGAGGCAAAATAGTCCCCAAAGAAAACATATTATTTCAGATTTTCCACCATTTTCCCATCCTCAACTTTCCGTATAAAACTCAGAAGACATATGTAGGTTCACTGGTGGTTTTGAAAAGTAAATAAAATGTCTATATTTGTATTGTAGTCATGGCGACCCCTGGTTCCTATCACCACCACTGTAAAGAAATCTGAACCATTTCATACCAAACCACTCTGAATTACTCTGATTACATCTCGCACACTGAAGTATGGGAGAATTATTTTTAAACATTGTTGGAATTCCTCTTTAAGGATGTGTTCACACCTGAGCTGTCTTAAATGGTCTCAAGTGGCAAGCATAACAACACTGGTTGACAGCTCACTATATTAGTTGACTGTCTAAATTACAGTCATTATTATTAATGATGAATTTTAGATTTATTTCTCAACATTTGGTCCAACTATAGCAAGGAGGATGCTGTTGGCCTTAGCTCTGACTTTGGAGGCTGAAAATAAAGAGGAGCCTCTCCGCACACAGAAAGTCTCATTTGTCCACCAGCGCTCCACTATGCCCAGCCTGCTGAGCTGGCTAAAAAAAAGCTTGACATTATTGGATGCTTTTTTTGAAAGTGTTCTATTCCATGTTCTGACTGCTTTGCTGTTGCTTTACCTTGGATTACATGTTAAACATGTGCCAGCAGGTGAGGAGGTAACGAGAAGAGCTTGGTAATTCGCTTATGATGGCACTCAGGTTTGTAAGAGCACTGAAGACACAAAACTCCAGCCATGACTGGCTGGGCTGGAGTGTTCAGTCATTGGCTAAACACAGGTTTAGCACTTCTTGCTCAAATAATGTTTACTTGGTTTATTAGATTATGGTATTATCTCACAGCAGAGCTGAAGGATTAATCACTTCTATACCGAAATCGCAATTTAAAAGATCTCAAGAGCTGCAATTTCAATCATAGCCTGCATTGCTGTGACATCACGACCACAACTATCTGGCAGTCTGGTGTTTTCTGTGTTCAAGTCTCAAGCCAGAAAAGTGGATGTTTTGGTTTCTTAGCCAAGAATATCAGGCCTGGAGATTTGCAGAAAATGATTGCAATTTAAATCACAGTCACATTATTGATCAGAAAAATCACAATTGGATATTTTTCCCAAATTGTTCAGCTCTAGATTAAAGTGTGTATTTTGAATATAAGCTGTAGAATTTGACCTGCTGGACGTCCCTGTGAAATAGTGCCTGTTAAACAGTATGTGCTCATTATATACTTCTTTCAGCAAATAAACAGTAATAGTGTATTAAAATGTGTAGAATATGTTGTCTGCAAAGGATGTGTAACTGATTTACACAATCAACAATAATTGTTTTTTGTGGTTAGCATTTGTAATAGAAGTGGGCGATATGGCAAAAACATTGCGATACCTCAGGAAGTTAAGTAAGTAATATATGAAAATAAATATTAATATTTATTTTTTCAGACATCTGATCAGCTTGAACAGAGGAAAAAGAGCCATTAGAGCTACATTAAAAAAAATTCTATCAAAAACTTTGAGCACAGTGATTTTTATTTAGTGTTTGGCATTAAATCCAGTTAAACTGACTAATTTTGCTCTCTTTATAATGAAATGAAACATGCAGTTGGTCGGTGTCTACAAGTACTGACGATATACACCATATGTTAAGAAAAGTATACTGTATTGTGACATAATGTATCACAGTAATGATATTGTCATATTGCCCAGCCGTGATTTGTAATTTGTGATTACTGATTTGATACAGTGCTTTAGTGTCCCGCATTCTTTTTCTTCCTTCTTGCTGTGAGATTGTGAGTGCACCCCTGGGGGGCAGCATGGAGCTCACTTTTGTGTTGAGATGCAGTAAGGCAGAAAGTGTTGCGGGAAAAAGAGGGGGAGGTTTGAGTGGGGGCCGGGGGGTGTTTCGGAAGTTGGAGCTCAGGGTAAAATTCCACTGCAGTGTTTAAGGTTGGGGCATATGGGCGCACGTGCACACGCTCACGTACACACGTGAGTTTGATGGAAGAAAACAAAGCCCTTGTGGCTCTTCACTGACCTCTGTTGTTTGTATGTGTCTGTGTGTGTGTGTGTGTGTGTGTAGGGTGCTAGCCCAAGGCCTGGTGCTGAACACAGGGAGAACAGGGCCCCTGTGCTCGGGGGCCATTGCAGAGCTTCGGGAAGACGAGGACGAAGCGTATTTCAGCTCATACGGACATTACAGCATTCATGAGGAAATGCTGAAGGTGGGACAGAGAACCAGAGTCACAAACGCTTTATCAGCCAAACACGATTTCACATATACAGTGTCTGGATGTGCATTTGCACTCTTAAAGATGGTTCTTCAAGGGTTCTTTAGTAAAAACAGTAGTTATGTATAGAACAACGAACACTCAAAGAACACAAATAGTTTGCATAGTGAAATAGTTCTTCAGATTGATGGTGAATGCGTTTTATATGGCTCTATATAGCACCAAAAAAGAGTTCTGCTGTTATTACAATCTCAAGATTGTATACAATATACAATCTGAAGAACCGTTTTATCAGGCTAAGAACTATTTAAGCATGAAATGGTTCTTTGAGTGTTAATGGTTCTATATAGAGCCATTGTCTTTACTAAAAAAAACCCCTCAAGAACCTTTTTTAAGAGTGCTGTTAAGTGGTCATGTTAAAATATAAATAAAAAAATGGTGAAATCAAATAGATATGTATACAGACAATAACAATATGCCTAAAATAAAATATAGAATTATATTTCATTTATTATACATTATTATTCATGTATTATAAATATCTTATTTATTATAAGGAATTTGTTCTGGTGAGTTGCCCACACCAGAAAATAAGATTGCTTAAAGATCAAATGTAGATCGAAGCTTAAGATATATCTATTTTAAATGTCATACAACAGTAATAATAATAATAATTAATTATAGTACATTATTCTTTCCATTATTATATTATCCACAGCTTAAACAAATTTATACAAATCATATCAGAACAATTTTAAATGTTTATCTGCAACAAAATCAGTTTTATATTGCTAGAAAATGACTTCAAACGTTTGAGTAGTAGTGGAGATCTCTCATAGAAATCTGTTCTGCCCCAGTTTAATGCATAGTGCCCCAGTTTACTGTTCGTATAGTCATTACAGTGTTATAACAGTGCAGAAAAGCAGGTGTTGATTTTTGTGCTTAATATTATTGTGTTTATTATCATTATTTTTATCAAAAATGCAAAGATTCTTCTTTTCAGGGTTGATCCTCGCCCCTCTAGTTAAGTTATGGGGGTCTAATGCTGTGTGTGTGTGTGTGTGTGTACACACACTGCGGTAAATGCTGAATAAAAGCCGCCTGCTGATTGGAGCTCATTTCTCTTTACGTTAACGTAGAGTTTTGCGTCAGAGCTGAAACTCCGTCACTCCGCCGCAGTGTGTGAGGTGTGTGGGGGTGCGTGTGTGCGGGTGGTGCAGAGCGGCTTTTACTGACCGCCATAAAAACAATAATCGCAGGTCACAGCAGTGTCTCGGGCTCTAGTGCTCAGCATCAGAAAAGAATGAAAAGACACCAGAAAAGGTGTGTTCAAGCCCTCTCGGTGTTAGATCACATTAACTTCGGAATTATCCATAATGGAAATTTGTTTGCCGTCTCCTTAAATGCGAATCATCAGTGTTTGTCAGAAATCCTCCCTTTTTTTCTCTTTGACACTATGTAAACATTTCATAATTAATTGGTCAATAAAAAAGGTCCAAAATAAATTCAAATAAATCTCATTACATTAATGTGTGCTGAAGTGAAGAGCATTTTTACTTCTTGCACAAATCATGAAAGTATTGAGATATGAATTAATAAGGAACTGAAGTATTACAGCTAATGAAATCAAATGAAACTGCAGTCCTACACACTTAAAAAAAGAAGGTTCTTCAGTGGTTCAATTTAGAGCCATTTCATGATTAAATGGTTCTCTGCATGGTGAAATTGTTCTTCACATTGATGGAGAATGTGTTCTATTAACAGAAAGGGTTCTGCTATCGTGACTATGTCAAGCCTGTAACAGTAGAAGAACCCTTTTTGGTGCTATATACAGCCCTTTACAGGAAGGTTCTATATAGACCCATCTACTGCACGTTCTCCATCAATCTGAAAAACTCTTTCATTTTGCAGAGATCCATTTAATCATGCAAAGGGTTCTTTGAGTGTTCATGGTTCTATGTACAAACATTTTCTTCACTGAAGAATCCTTGAATAACTATCTGGCAGTAAATCACTCACTACAGTGAAAAAATGTGAAATTACTGTTCCACAGTGAGATGCAGAACATGAGTCAAAAAGCAAACCCTATATTATGGTGCTTTCACATTGCTTGACCTCTTTACTGAAAAACAGTGCATGTGGATTTTAAAATTAAATGCTGAATTTGTGTCAGAATTGAATACAATCCACTTTAAAATGTAATAAATACTGCTTTACACTGTGCAGTGCTTTAGTTTCCTCACTGAAATGCAGTCATAACAGTTAGAACTGTAATGAAAACGCACATCTAACATTACTGTTCCACATATGATGTGCATAATGTGTGCCAAAGTGAAACGTGAAACCCTCTATTATACTGTTTTCACCTTTTTTGTACCTCAGATGTTTTGCCTCATTGAAATGCAGCCAAAACAGTAAAATGCAAAGCATGAGATCACATGTAAACAGTAATATGTGGAAAACGTGCCAAAAACGAAAAGAAAAAGATACGTTACTACTGATTTAATGTTGTTCAAAGTGCTGTACGGTGTAAAGCAGTATAGCTGCTTTATTACATTTTATAGTGGATTGTATTTAATTCTGACACAAATTCAGCATTTCATTTTTAAATCCTCACACGATGTTTTTAGTAAACAGGTCAAGCGACGTAAAAACACCATAATAGAGAGTTTGTTTTTCATTTCTGCCATGTGTTCTGCATCTCACTATGGAACACTAATTTCTCATTTTTTCACTGAAGTGACTGCTTTTTGAATTTTCTCTCCGTAAAATGTAGCTACTTTCAACATGATTAACACAAATAACACAGAATTGTGAGCCTAAAAGCCTGCCTTAATATCAGGGTGTCTGAAAGTCTCAACTGGTTTGCTTTTACATTTTATAAATTAAATTCTTTTAAGTGTTACAATTATTTGTATTAAAAATCTACAGGAGTTTTTGGGATCCAGACAGGTGTCGCTTGGCTTTAATTCATTAATTGGTGCCTTTATTCATTAGAAGACTTTTAACGTTAACATTACCTGCTGTTCATTTTAAAGATGGTTCTTCAAGCGTTCTTTAGTAAAGGAAAGGGTTCCATGTAGAATGATGTAAACTCAAAGAACCATGTGCATGCTTAAATGGTGAAATGGTTCTTCAGATTGATGGAGAATGTGATCACAGTAAGACTCCTGTGTCCCGCTGAATAAGCACAACTGCTGATAACTAAAGATGATCATCTGTAATGTTTTATTCACCGAAGCATGAAAAATGTTTATCAGAAATAAAACTGTCATAAACTCTAATACACATAAACAGTGCAAAATAGTGGAAGTATTAAGATATGCTACAGGCTTGGCATCATAACAATAAAAGAATGCTTTTTGGTGCTGGATAGAACCCCTTACAAAGATGCTATATAGAACCATCTACAGCACATTCTCCATCAATCTGAAGAATGCTTTCATGATGCAAAGAACCCTTTAATCATGCAAGGGGTTCTTTGAGTGTTCATGGTTCTATGTAGAACCATTTTCTGTATTAAAGAACCCTTTAAGAACCATCTTTTTTTTAAGTGTGTACAGCCTTGACATTGTAACAATAGCAGAACCCTTTTTGGTGCTATATAGAATCCTTTACAAAAAGGTGCTATGTAGAACCATCTACAGCACATTCTCCATCAATCTGAAGAACTCTCACGGTGCAGAGACCATTTAATCATGCAAAGGAATGTTCATGGTTGCATGTAGAACCAGTTTCTTTACTGAAGAACCCTCGAAGAACCATCTTTTTAAAGAGTGCATGCATGAAATGGATCCATGCAGAACTCATGGTTCTAAATAGAACCATTTCCTGTACTTAAGAACCCTTGAAGAACGATCTTGTGGTTCTACACACAGACACAGCAATATGAGTGTGGGTTAGTTTTGAAGAGTGTTTCTATATTTGCTATGTTGTCACTGGAAATTTGGTCTTAAATTATATTAAAAGTCATATTCGACAAGAGCACTAGTTATTATAGTTATTTATTATAGTTATTATTATTATAGTCGTTTAACGTTGGAATAGCTTTTGTTATAAATGTTTCTGACTTTACAGCAGCTGAAACTCTAAGTAAATGTTTTAAATTAAGCTCTGAGCTGCTTTAAAGGCCTTCCACACTTTTTCCCTTCATAATTAGCCTTTAACCTGTACCTGAAGATACAGATATATTTTACCTTAATTCACTACTTATTGTAGTGCATTATTGGTTTCTGTGTTTCATTGCTTATTTTTCTACATTGACGTCTCTGTGTGTTAAACGTGTTGAGCAGGTTTCTGATATTAATGTCAGTGTTGTTTTAACTGGGGAGCTTTTACTTTTACTCTAAAGTGGCCCTTACCTGTAATACAAAAACATGTATTTTTATTTTTCATGTTTGTTCAGGTCCTGTGGACGTGTGTTGGGGCTTGTTTGGGGTTGTGGTTTGATTGGCGGGTTAATTAGCCATTTTCTGGGATTCTGCTGGCGAAGCAGGACGTGTCAGGGTCAATTTCATTTAATTTTTCATTCTGAACCCAACAAATGCCGTCAATTCCCGTCCCCCTCGACTTGGAGAGAAATCATTAGCAGTTACATTCCCTTTCAAATGCAGTCCAATGCAATCTTGAGTGTGCTGAAATGAGATTGGCCCCCTCTTCGCAGCTTAATGCTTGTTAATTTGATTTCTTACTTGGTCCTTGCCTTGCGAAAGAGGGAAAGTCATCTTGTGGAACTGCGGCGAAGACTGTTTGATAGAATTAAATTTTCGTCCTGAACGATTGGAATTTGTTCAGCAATCACTGTTTTGGCGGGAAGGCTGTGCTCCGTCTTTTTAATGGAGAATATAATGGTGATGCTCTGTCATCACTTACAGCTGTGCTCTCTTGTCTTCTTTTCTGCAGGACAAGGTGAGGACAGAAAGCTACCGGGATTTCATCTGTGGAAACCCAGATGTCTTTAAGGACAAGGTGAGTATCGGGTCCTGTTTTGTTCTGAAATGTGGTTTGTTAATAGTTTTCGCAGCGTGGCCCTTCACAACACAGAAATGATCAGACTGCAGAGATTCTGACCAATCAGTGTGTGTTAGTGTGTGCTGTGTAGGGCTGCACAATGTATCGTTTGTTAGTAGTATCATGATACTGATCTTTGCAATACTTTACAATTACAATTTACAGTTATTTGAGATGATTGCAAGTATTTACTCTGACTGCAGTCATTTTCCATACCCATTATATTCCACAGTCGTATTATGCTGCAACAAGCAGGATGTGAATTGGGTGTGTTTGGATTAGAGATGCACAGATACCGCTTTTTCCCTTTCAATACCAATACCTGATCCTTTAGTGTCAGCTGATACTAACTTTATCTAACCTAACTCACCTGTAAGTCCTGATATTTATACAATTACATTTTTAACATATTTTGGTAAAATCTATGTTCTGCGTCAAAAACACACTCAGCTTGGCCAAATGCCATTTACTTGTTGGATTATATTTATTAGATGTTTAAGAAAAATTTTTATTTACTGTATATATTTAGTATTTATTGTTATAAGATCCATTTTAACAACTTAAGTAAACATAAAATACTTTATTGTGCAAAACAGTTAAAATCAGAACTGAACAGTATACAGATAAACCTGTGGTGTTAACACATCAGCACACAGCAGCTTCTCTGGCTCAAAAACGGAGCTGAATGTTGTTTTACGTCCAGATTTCTCAAGTTGTTTGTCTCATATGTGTGTCTTGTTCAGTTGCACTGCATCTCTGAGTTCAGTAAATATCACCGTTGTTCAGGCTGTCAGTATCAGCGACTTTCAGTGTTTTTTCTGGCTTGGTTGAAGCGATGGGCCGCGAGACCCCGCTGCTGAGTGGTGCAGCTAACTGACGGCTTGCAGGCTGTTATGCAAATGGCTAAATCGAGGATAAAGGTCATCATTACGCCGAGACTAACATTAACTCAGACTGTAAGTGACCACACAGCAGCAGATGAGTGATTACTGAAAGAAGCAGCTCAGCCTTTCAGACAAGCTGCTCCATTAGCATGGTCTTAACACCATGTGCTGCTGTTAGACATTCAGCTGTGAGCATTTTAACTGCTGCTTGTTGTGCCACACCGCTGACATGTAGTTAAGTTCTGTCTGCTGGCGCGCATGCACTCGTCAGAAATTGCTTCGTGGTGTCAGTCATGGGTATCGGCATTCCCATCACTGATACCTATACTTAAAGTGCCAGTATCAGCGCCAATACCGATTCTTGTATTGTATTGGTATCGGTGCAACGCTATTTTAAATTAAGGCAAACAAACCTAAGTAATGGAAAACATTAAATGCATTCATTAGCTGCATTTCCATTCAAATGTTTGAATTTACAAAATGTCTGCAGAATTTTTTGGCCCCTACCAAAAACCTTGTGGAGGAAAGCCGTTTGCTTTAAGTAGAATCATCTTTACAGCCGTCTTTTTATGGCTGCGTTTATGCAGCTCAAAGATGCCAGGCAGGACAAGCAGTGGCCACCTAATGAGGACTGAAATCCCTGCCACCCTGGCTTTTACTTAATTATAGATTTAACCTACTCTACCCACTTCCGGCTCTGTGTGCCACCAAAAGCTCTGAGATCCTCAGATCAGCATGTCTTAAAAGTTCCCCATTCACAGAAAAAGCCAAAGGGTAATGGGCTCTCTCGGTAGCAGGCCCAGGGCTCCCTATCGAGATCAGGCATGCATCTTCACTACAGTATTGAAGCCTTAAACGTGCTTAATTAACTTCTTGGACCCCCTGAAAGACTCAAAACCAAAATTCTGAGGTCCCTAAAAATAAACTTACTATGATGTTATGTTGTCTGTTTAGGTAAAATAGACGCTCAAATACAGATTCAGTGAAGCTCATTGTTTATCTGCTTCACCCACAATCAGCTTCTGTCTCTGGTGTTCTTAACTAACTAGAGCTGCAGCACTGCTCTGCCTCAGGGTGGCGCTGTAGCAGACTGGTTCACCCAGTTGGTCCTTCATAGTCTAGAAACTGTAACTCTGCCCGGATTCCTCTGAAAAACTTTACAATGTGCTGCAGCAGATCTGTAAATGTGAAAACTCGCCTGGTTTCCCAAGAGTTGTGGAGTGAAGAGAGACCGTTCCTCATTTCTCACACTGAAGAAAGAAGAGGGGATGAGGAAGATCTCAGTTAATGTGAGGAAGAGCACAGAAGCACACTAGAACAGAGATTTTACATAAGAACAACTGATAAAACAAACATTTTGGTGCCATTGAAGCATCAGCGCCGCTATGGTGAGTGAGTTAGCAGCCAGCCAATGTCGGCCCCCCAAATACCAGGGGGGATTTCACACATTGACTGTCACCCTTTACGTTGTATATAAATTTTACAATAAATGGACAAAAAAATGGCCCAAAATTACTTGAAAAAAGTCTGAATCCCTTGACTTACATTCAAAGTAAAGTAGGGTTTTTTCCTCTCCTGTAAAGTCACTATTTTGAAGACACAAGGTTTTCTTCCGACAGCAGTCATATATATGTCTTGCAAGCAGAAGTGTGCCCATACCCAGACTTCAGTGATTTTCCTTTTTTTAATACATGCAAAACTGCAGTGAAATTAATACAGACAAGTTTCTTAGTTAACAGTGTGTATAGTCTGCAGCTTCTGTGTTTAAAATAATGAATGTTAATTTTTGCAAGGTATATCACAATCATCACAACATGATCATGAAAATGCATAGTAATATAATCTCAATGTGGCCTTTTTTCCGTATCATGCAGCCCTTTTTCTGGCTTAGGGTTCAGATTTGGCTTTTATCCTGTATCTGTGTGTTAGCGTTAGCGCTGTAGGCGGAGAGGAAGGACAGGGGGTCACGGTGACCACTTCTGATTTAATACGGCAGCAGTTTATTATGAGCTGCAGCGTTTTATTATTATTTTTTTTTAGAGGTTCCTTGTCGGCCGACTGCAAAGAACTGATAACGGGAAAACGCTGCCCAGAGTGTTTCTCCCTTACACACATGCTCACGCTCACAACACACACAAAAGCAAAAGGCTGTCAGTGTAATACACAGGAGCTCATACAGAACCCATTCATTATACAGTGACACCAGTTAGATCAGTTTTAAATAGCTGCAGTTAGACAGAGAGAGAGAGAGAGAGAAAGAGGCAGAATGAGAGCCCCAGTAAGAGGCAGAGAGAGAAACAGTGAGGCAGTGAAGAAGACTGAGAGAGAGCTGCTGGCTTATCTGAAGCATCAGTGGACAGTCAATGGTGTTTGGAGTGTGTGTGTGTGTGTGTGTGTGTGTGAGAGTGTGAGTGTGAGTGTGAGTGTGTAAGAGAGAGAGAGGATCAGTGAGGTGAATCGCCCCTGTCAGTGTGATAAACGCTCTGGGCATCATTATCCCCGCCGACAGGGCTGGGATGGCAAGGACAAGGCTGGCAGACTAGGGGCCCCAAATTTGGGGGGGAGTGGTAGACTGTGGGCTGCAAACAAGGGGTCACCGTCTGGAGGCTTCAATCAGTGGGCTGCAAACTAGGGGCCACACAGACTGAGTTTTAAGCGAAGGGCCGCAAAATCGGCGGAGCCAAGTACACTCTTAAAAATAGATGGTTCTTCAAGGGTTCTTTAGTAAAGATGGTTTTATACAGAACCATGAACACTCAAAGAACCCTTTGCATGATTAAAAGGTTCTTTACAGCACCATATACAACACATTCTCCATCAGTCTGAAGAACCATTTTGTGTACACCTTCTCAGCCACGTTCTTAACAAGGCAGTTATGTTATGGAGTAACAAAGTATAACATGCCATAATCACAAATACGATCAAAACAGTCACGTTTTACTGAATTGTTATTTTTATTTTCTCTGATGAAATGTAACAAATGCGCCGATTGTGAGTAATCAAGTGCCTGTGTGCCCATTTACATCTCTAGACTAAAAGCATTTTTAATTTTTAGAAAAAAATTATTTTTAATGTTGGATTAAGCTTATTCATGATCCAGCTCATAAAATTATAAATAATATAGCTATAAAAACATTCTTATAAACAACCTTAAGGACGTGGATTAAGTCTAGTCTTGGATTAAATTTCAGAGCCAGTGGTTTATCACCACTGGAAATACTTTTTAGTTTAGGCTTAATCTACATTTAGGAAAATGACTATGTGACAGATAAACTCTCACTGTAACAAACTTAAAGAATGTTGTCTGTTCTGCTGATCAAAGGTATTGTAACTGTATACAAACACAAACTGCTCAGAGGTGAAATATGGTGTAAAACACTTTAATTTGCTGATGCTATCTGTGCTCTGTTAGCAGGAACTTACAGCAGTGCTGATATATCTGTGGAACCTAAATATATTCCGGTTTTACTGGTCAGGCGGTAAATCCTTCGGGCCCTCCTGCTGACTTGGGGCTGCGTCGATGTTCTTGTTTTGGAAAGTGACATGCTGTTCCACCCTCCTGTAGGTGGTGCTGGACGTGGGCTGTGGCACTGGAATCCTCTCAATGTTCGCTGCTCGAGCAGGGGCCAAGAAGGTCATTGGCGTTGACCAGTCAGAAATCATCTACCAGGCCATGGACATAGTCAGGTGAGTGATCATGCACTTAATTTCTGAGCTGCTGAGCTGACGTTAGGTGTAAATGAAGGTAGTGTGTTTGGTGATATGACTGGTGTGGAGTTGTGTAGAATTGAGGTGTAACCACTGCCCCCATAGATTGTTGTTGGAGTAGGAGAGTGCACATTACATTGCAGTGCATGCTGGGGACTGTAGTGCAGCGCATTGTGAAACGAGCTAATATTAATAGAAAATTTGCGGGCCGGATAGGATTGTGTCTGTGTTTGACACATGGGCCTTAAACCATTTAAGTTTAAGTAACTCAAATCAATTGACCACAAATAATTTCCTGAACTGAGTATGAACAAAACATATCATTATTATTGTATCCACTTAACTGAATAGAGTAAATTGTACTCCATTCATTTTGTTGATATCAAAATGTCTGTATTTTGGACTTTATGTTATGGTTGTACAAACTAGTACAAATAAGTAAATGTAAATTAAATTCAATGCTAGGCTAAACTAGACCATCATTGTAACATTCGTATTATGTTACAGAAACTTAATAATGGTAGGCATTGATAACAGTGTGTTAACCGACTAAATATGACTCTGGACCATCTTGCCAAATGCTAACAGTTTAGCCCAGAGTGCAGATGTCGCTTCTGTAGAGTTTAGCCACTGCAGAACTGCAGAACCACACTCAGCAGGTGGGAACTTGGTAACTCAGCTCCCTCAACACTGATTTCAATTAGTACTGACTGAGATGAGTTATAAAAATTTAGGAAACAGTAAACATCCAAGGTAAGGTAGGCTGGGGAGAATGACAGCACACATGTGGTAGGGTAAACAAGGTGGAAAGACACGCCCGGTATGCAAATATGTGGTACCAAGAGCCAATAGGAATGATGTAGGTTTTACTCAAGAAGGTTACATTGACCAAACATTTATCAAGTAAAGCTGGAAAGTCTAAATTGCAATAAGTTGATTCAAAGATCCTGTTGAAGTGTCTGAAATCATCAAAATAAAGTTACGAGAAAAGCACGAAAAATCCAAATCAGTTAAATGTGAACATTAATGCAGTCTATCACATAAGTTCACTGATAGAGAACACTCCAACAGCTCAACCACTGAATCAACTATCGTTTTAGCTAAAAACATTAGATCATATTCTGCTTGTGCTGAAGAGACCAGCTAATCTTGATAGACTTCAAGGCTATTTTATGCTTTTGGCAACCATCACTTTTAACATAGGTAATTCTGAGTAGGCTAAAATTAGGACTAATACATGGAGTTCACTGTCTGTCATTCAATAGACAAAAGGGGGTCTTCTTTTGTAACAAGCTTGATATTGTCACAATAGCAGAACTCTTTTTGGTGCTGTATAGAACACATTTATTTCGAGTGGTCCTTTGTAGATGATTAATAAACTCTCAACAGATTATCAGTAACACATCAACAACATATCAGTGAAGTAACAGTAGTGAAGCTTCTGAATACACTGAAGTAAATATCTTGATGTTCTGTAGATACATTACTGACATTAAGTAGATGTATTGTTAATTCCATTAAGCAAAACCTAGCCTTACCCATCCTTACCCAAACCCTACCCTGGCTCTAATCCTAACCTTAACCTCAACCCAAAACCTCATCCAAATCCTAACCTTAACTCTGGCCCTGATCCTAACCCTAACCTAACCTTAACCTCAGCCCAAAACCTAGCACTAACCTTAACCTCAACCCAAAACCTAATCCTAATGCTAACCTTAACCTCAACCCATAAACCTAATCCTAACCCTCATATGTTTTTGACATGTTACTGAGAGTCTGTTGAGTGTTTGTTTCATCTAAAAGCCCCACTCAAAATAAAGTGTCAACAACACATCAGTCAATCTGAAGAACCATCTCACCATGCAGAGAAAGCTTCAATCATGTAAGGGTTCTTTGGGTCTTCATGGTTCTACATAGAACCATTTTCTTTACTAAAGAACGCTTGAGAACCATCTTTTTAAGAGTGTAGCTTTGTTTACTGATGGTGTAATGAGCGGCATGTTAATTAGCAGCTGTTGTCTTGGTAAGCCTTAATAAGTCCAGTACAGTGGCCTCTTTAATAACATTAAACTAACATTAAACTCCTATGGAGTTTGACTGCTACCCAGCATGCACCTGGACCAGACCATCTGACCTGCAGGTTCTCTTTATTGTCTTTATTAAAGCTATCAGCCGAAGCAGCCTGCCCAGCTGTTCTTCTCCACCTTCATGCAGCTCCTCACTCTAACCCGACTAGTAAATGAGAAACTGCCCCGCGTGTGAACTCCAAGGCCATTGCTGTCTTGTCTGCCGGCAGTGAGCGTGTAGCGGTTTGTTTGTGATGTATTCTCGGTATGGGGCGCCGTTATGAGAGATGTGTGTGATTATGGCTTTTGTTGTTGTTATTATGTAAGCTACAGAGGTGGAGGCATGCAGCTGGATATATATGGAGAGCGAAGTTTAATTTTACAGTTCACTGGGCCGCTGTGGGACGGAGGGGTGTGTGTGTGTGTGAGAGAGACGCATGGTGCTTCACACACTCCTTCACACTCACTGCACTCCTGAAAAGGTACAATAAAAGTTTCTTTGTGGCACTGCAGTTAGAGCAGGGCTGACCTGTGAGGATTATCCTGAAGGTGACTTAGAGGTGGGCAATATGGCAAAAATATAACATTGCGATGCTTTAAGTAATTTTCATGATGCGCGATTCTCCACAATATTTATTTTTTCAGACATCTGCTCAGTTGGAACAGAGAAAAAATAACCTACATTTTAAAAATACTATCAAACAGTGAACACCGTGATTTTTATTCAGTATTCGGCACTAAATCCAATTAAAAGGGACTAATTTTACTCTCTTTATAATGAAACATGCAGTTGGTCAGTGTTTACAAGCACTGACGATACACACTATCAGAATGGCAAATTGTATTGTAATGTTATATAATGTCATATTGCCCTGCTGGACGACATAGAATGTGTCACACTGAGTGAGTTTACCTGCATTTAATAATCCAATCATAATCTGATTTCTGCTGTTATCTGATTATTAAGTAGTTGTGTAAACACACACTCTGATTTCTTAGACCAGATTAAGGTCTACAAATCTGAATAAGAAATCTGATAAAGAGGCTGATTTGAGCTCAGTAATGGGGTTTCTCAGTGCATGTAAACCCTCACTCTGATTTCTTTCATATCTCTGTCTGCACATGTGTGAAAACAGAGCGCTGTCCCAGAAACAGCGAGCAGTGTTTAACACAACACCCGTGAGATGCAGCACAGCACTTTTGGAGCAGTGCTGAAACTGAATACACGCTCAAACAAATGAAAGATTTAAATATTCTTCATCTTCTGGATGATGTATGTTTATATTTTCCACTGAAGTGACTCAATATTATAAGAAAAATATGTGATTGGTTTCAGTGTCACTCCAAAAGCAGAGTCATGTAGCAGATACAGTATAAAGTGCTGCCATACTACATAGAATCTGTCACACTGGGTGTGTTTACATAATCCAATCATTGTCAGATTTCTGCAGTTATCAGATTAATAAGTGCATGTAAACGCACTCAGAGTGCCGATAAATGCCAAGTTAATTTTTACACTCTCCTTTTATAGCTTTAACAAAGCAAAACTTTAAGCATAAGTCATCATTTTTGCCAGCTTTTGTTTTCCAGCTGAAAGATATGACGTAAATAAAGGTTGGTATGTTACCTTTAGCATTTGATTGTTCATCCAAAAGACTGACTGCCTGTTTCTATGTAAATTTCAAGCTACGTGTGGTCTTCTGTGGTCTTACTATGACTTGTCAAACACAGTAATGGCAAAATGCTGAGTGGTGCACTGACGTGCCGAGAAGTCAGTCGGTGTGGGGAGTCACTGGGCATCTACATTGAAAAATGTGTTCCTTCATTAAAAACAATCGTTTCGCAGCGTCCACCATAATTTTAAATTGCAGAATGCTTTTGTTATCAGCAGTGATAAACATGATTTTGTTAAACCTCTTTGAAATGACTTGTGTGTGCGTGTGTGTCTGTGTGTATATACACACTGGTAAGATTTGATTGATTTACTGAGTTGATTGATTGTGGTGCGGTTTGGCCTGTAAACCTTTGTCTGTAACGCTTAAACCACAGACGCTCCTAATTTCTAGAGAGTCCTTTTACAACAGTGTTTCACAGCATATTGGAGGGAGCATTACGAGAGTTAGCTTTGAGAGTAAAAAATTATTTTAAGGAGTAAAAATAAATAAAATTAGACCTTTGTGGTACACAAAATATCCCCCAGATATAGGCCTCTTTACAATATTTGAAATATTGTTTGTGTAAATTAACTAATATATATAATTAATATAATTAATAATTAATACATTTATTATTTACAGTCAGAATAACTATTTCAGTCATTACATTTAAAATGTTTCTGTTTTACTGTCATGTTTTACTGTCAGTTTTATTTTTGAAGCAATATATTTGGTGCTGTACTTTCAATATTAATAGTGCAATAAATGCAAAGACCATAAATGATTTGACATTAATTATAAATTAACTCTAAAAATTTGATTACAAACTAATGCAGGGGGGGGGCTTTTGCTTCAGGTTGCAAATGCCCTTTCAAAGCTTTTTTTTTGTGCTACTCAGGTTTATGCGTCATCCTGTATATGATAAACTGAGAGAGAGATATTATTTACCTTTACAGTAAATGGATGATGTTCTTAAGGGAGAACTGCATTCTGAATGTTTGCAGTGCTCTGCCATGCGTCACCAGATATTTAATTTATTGAACATGAGTGTGCGCTAATATATGATGAGCTCTGTAACTCAAAGAATTCTGTTGAATTTCAAGGACACGTCTGAGTTATAAGCGAATAAATTACTCTCCTTTTCAGTCTCACAGTGAAAGCACTGCAGTTGCAGGTAAAGTGTGAATAGAGATGGAGGTGTAGAAGCGTTTTAGCCCCTCCCCCCAATCCCGAATTTCTCTCTGTCCTGTAGCTGCCATTGTCCTGTGAATTGCTGGGGTAATGAGATTAGAGCAGAGGAGAGAAGGATCCTGGCAGAGCGTGATAGTGAAGGAGTGCAGATAGAGATCAGTGGGGACAGAAACGCAGCGGCCGGCCTGACTAACGACCCCGTCCCCGCTAACATTACCTGTCATGATAATGGAGTGTTTAGAGAGATTGATACGCTGTACACAGGGTTACTGTTCACAGAAGATCATCAGTTCAACCCGGGGCAACACACACACACACACACGCGCTTACACGTAAATACTATAGATGTGTGCGGTTACTCCAGTACTCGGTTAACTGTTCATTGTGGCTGCACTTGAACATTCGATCTGACCTTGTTGTTAAGGAGCTTTTTCGGAACCTTTCACGCCTGCCTTGTTTTGTCCAGACCTTTGGACTTTCAGTTTGGTCCGAACTGAAATAGCAGGTGTGCAAGGTGCCACGGACCAAAGAACCAAGCTCTTTTGGTCCAACCAAAGGAGATGTTCTTAGTGCAGCATGCTTCAATTTATCTACCGTGTTAAAACACTTGTTTGGATGGTTTGGCCTTTCTGACTGATGGGAGGAAGTTGAGGCAGGATATCACCCATTACACAATAAAAGAAGAAAAAGAACCAGGAGAAAAGTAAAACTGAGCCACACAGGGAGGAGACCAAATATTTAACTATAGTTTGGTCTGAAAATTCAAAAGCCCAAAATTTGGTCCGACCAAAAGAGGTGGTCTCGGTCCAGATCAAGCTGAGCCATGGTTCGGTTTGTTTGCAGTGTTAAACCACTTTTTTGGATGGTCCATCAGTGTCCAGTACGGGGAGACGCAGCCGACACAGGTGATGACGACAGGACGCAGGGCTGTCGTGCAGAGTTCATTAGTGTTCTTGAAAAACTGCAATGAGAAACCAAAACTAACCAGATCAAATACAGTGTAACAAAAATATGAACCAGATCAAATGTACACAATGTAAAGAAATGAACCTTAGTTGTGAAAACGCCCCGAGAATGCAGGTGTAGTGCGGCTTTAGCGCTAACTAGGCTAGCGACTCCAGCAGGTGTTACTTAGGACCAAAAACAGTGGAAATATATTTCTGACAAACTAACATGCTGGCAGATCATCCACTGAGGAGGGAAGATGCTGTGTAGAAGACTTCGAGTCCTCATCAGCAGCCGGTGGTGAACCAGTTGGTTCAGCCACTAAAATGGCCATATTAAAAAATCTCAGCAAATCCGTGGGCCAAAGAACGTCTGTGTTTTTATTTTATTTTTAATGAACATTGTGCTATAACCCGAACTGGCCATTGTTTATTCAAAATTCGCAAAAACTTCAACAGTAAAATATGGGCACTTGTAGTAGACTTTATAATACTACTTGAATACTTGAAATATTCAAAATTTAATTGCCACCAAGTCCTTGGTCTTTTAAGCCTACCTATTTGCTTGAACTCGACACCTGGCATCTTTTCTTGCTCCAGGTTCATTAAGACTTGGATTTCTGAGCTGCTGAGCTGACGTTAGGTGTAAATGAAGCTGGTGCATTTGGTGATATGACTGATGTGGAATTGCATAGAATTGTGTAGAATTGTTGTTGGGGTAGGAGAGTCAGAGCGCTCATGTTGCAGTGCATTCTGGGGACTGTTGTGTAGCGCGTTGTGTAACAGGCAAATTTTAATAGAAAATTAGGATACTTTTGCAGGCCGGATCGGATCAGGCCTGTGGGCCTTGTGTTTGACCCATGGGAGTTAGCTGTAGTTTTAGCTCGTATTTGAAGAGGCAGCCCCTTTTTTATCTGACACAAAAGCTACTGATTTACCGAAGCTATTTTAGAAAAGTAAAACGGCTTCAGGTCTGTTTTTCTGCTACAGATTGTTTAGCCTCTTATCACCTGAAAGACTTAAAAAAAGCCATAAGAAAATTTCAGCCAAACTTCTTTTTTTCCCCTATTACCCCCAGTTAATCGAATATTCGCTCATTAACTCTTGCGGATACTCAAATATCAGAATTTTCAGAATGCACATCCCTAACAAATAGCGCTGAACGGTTTGGGGAAAATAACGATTGTGATTTTTTTTTTTTTGGACTAACATTATGCTCATTTTCAATGTTCATCATTTTTGGGCTCCTAGAATAGATGTACATGCTTCAGAAACATTATTTTAACTCTGTCTTTAAGTAACATGTAACCTCTTGTACAAAGGCCTCATAGTAGTCAGTGTCCCACATTTGCCTAAATTTGAATAGATACTAGAGCTGGGCGATATGGCAAAAATATAATATTGCCGTAATTCAAGAAATTTTCATGAAACACATTAAAAATTTATTGATAAATTGATAAAAATACTATCAAAAACTCTGAACACAGTGGTTTTTATATTCAATATTGACACTAAATCCAGTTAAACAGCACTAATTTTACTCTGTTTATAAAACATGCAGTTGGTCAATTTCTATAAGTACTGACGATAAACACAATGATCTGAAAAGCATATTGTCTTTTACTGTATATAATATAATGTAATTTATCAATGATATATATTGTAATATTGCCAGTGCTAAGAGAGACCTAGAGAGAGTGCACATTTTTGAATATTTCTTCTGGTCATTTGGTCAATTTGTTGTTTATTTCCAGGTTTAAATGAAAAAAATACAAATATGCACACACACACACACACACACACACACACACTCACACTCAAACACACAGAGTGGTTCAGTGCTGTTTGCTGATAAGAAAGGTCACTTGAGGAAGATTTACTGTACAGGTGCTCTGGCAGAGCTGGGCTGTGTGTGTTTGTGTGTGTGTGTGTGTGTGTGTAAAAAATTGGTATAAATGGACGGCCATGTTGGAGCAGACCCTGTCCGAGCTAAATGACTGTAATTAGCACTCATTCTCTCAAATGAGCTGCTTAAGAGCCCAAAGTCACTTCAGATTGTCCAGGAATGAATGTCCCATCTGAGGCAAATTTGTTTTGCAGCAATGAATTTTACTCCCTAATAATTCTTCAGTTAGGATTTTTATGTGAGTTAATTTTATCTGTCTGTTTTCTAGAGCTGCATTGATTTCATTGAAATTATTAAGTTATAATAGTGACGAATGGAGGTCTAAACCCATATTCATGTCCCTGAATCACATGAGGTTCATTTGTTCATATTTGTAATATTTCACATGTTGTTTGATGCGGTATTGTGGCTTGTGTTTGCTCTACAGATCTAATCAGCTGGAGAACACCATCACTCTGATCAAAGGCAGGATAGAGGACGTTAATCTCCCAGTGGAAAAAGTGGACATCATTATTTCAGAGTGGATGGTGAGTGAACACAAAGTTATGATGCCCGTGTGATCCACACAGTCATTCTGACAGACTGTAATACACTACAGGACAGTTGTGGATGAAGTACACAAATCATGTACTTGAGTTAAAGTAGAGATACCCAAGGTAAAATATTACTCCAGTAAAAGTAGAACTCCTCCCTTTAGACCTCCACTTGGGTAAAAGTACAAAAGTATTTGCCTTCAAATGTACTTAAGTATCAAAAGCAAAAGTACTGAAAGATTAATTATGACTTTAATGTCCTATTATCATTTATGTAACAATACTCTTGCTTCAGTAACTCATTTTAGGTGAAAATACTCCAGTGTCACTCTTGGTAAACCAGTCTTTTAATAGAATTTCGTTAATTAGTCTGACACTGAAGGCAAAACACTGAAGGCAGTTTCCATTAGGTAGAACCAAGTGTCTATGAAATAATCTTTTGCAAACAAGCAAGTTTAAGATTTATTTGCAACTTAGTTACAAGTTTAAGTTTAATAAAAACTTGCTTTAAACACAGGTTCACAAATGAGTTTTCCTTTACTATACTGAATCTGTAGGTCTCTGTTCATAAACACAAACTAGCAAAAACAAATTTACTATAAAATTAAATAGTGTTTGTTTAAATTCAGAAAAAAGAAACATGCCAGTCACAACTGTGCATGTGTACATATTTCTATATTGTGGTCTATTTACACAAAGATAGGGTAGTTCCATCATTTATGTTGGAATAGACACTCCCAAAATTTTATGCTGCTGCACTGATGTTGAACCGTATGCTTGCACTGGGTCTGTATGACAAACAGGTCAAAACAAGCTCAAAACTAAGTGTGCGCTGTACCCTGATTGGTGTTCTTGCTTCACGCTTCTTTTGTTTTGACATGTTGCGTTATGTGTTACGATTTCGCATAATGTAGTGGAGTGAAAAGTAAGATATTTGACTTTGAAATGTAGTGGAGTGAAAGTAAAAAGTCGCCCAAAATAGAAATACTTCAGTAAAGTACAGATACATGAAAAAACTACTCAAGTAGTAACGAATTACATTTACTTAGTTACTGTCCACCACTGCTACAGGAAGTGTAGGGGGCGATGCGTCTTCTATTGTTTCATTTAAAAAGCCGTCTATAATGATGATCCTCACAGCCGTTCTGACAGACTGTAATACAATACAATAAGTGTAGGGGGCGATATGACTTCTGCTGTTTCATTTAAATAGCGCTCTGTAAAACTTACAGCTAAAATGTGACTTTATCAGATCATACTGACCTAATGTGGACATGCCACATCACACTCATAGGTCAGAAGCATCTGGCTGTATGTTCTTCACCACTGAGCAGTCAGTTTTTTATGGTCAGGCTTGTACAGAATTGACACAGAAATGTTATATGTTAGCTGCATGTAAGGGTCATGGAGGTCTGTCCACTCCAGTCATGCTGACCCTGATTATGGCGACTTTTTGTTATTCGCTCTGCCGTTTGCTGTAGATGTCCGTTACAGGCTGGTGACCCTCATCCTCTCTCTGCCCCTTTCAATCACGAGGAAAATTGAAATTGTGATGTGCCGTGCCACAGAGTGATGAAAGATTGCTCATATAATACAGAATGGCACACTTCCATGAACATTAATAATTTTAGGAGCCACCTGTCACTTCTCATTCCAGCGGAGGTGGCGGATGATCAGGGAGAGAAAGGCGGAGGATCGGGCGAGTGTGCTGTATTAAAATGCAGAGTCTCAGAAAAAACCTTCCCTGTAATTAGCAACACTTAAAGGTTCCCACTGTGTGTGTGTGTGTGTGTGTGTGTGTGTGTGTGTGTGTATATTGCTGTTGTCGGAAGAAAATCTTGTATCTCCAAAATGGTAACTTTACAGGAGAAGGAAAAAACCTACTTTACTTTTAATGTAAGTCAATGGAACCAGACCTTTTGTCCAAGTAATTCTGAGTCGTTTCTTTTGGTCCATTCCTCATGAAATTTTCACACAATGTAAAGGACAACAGGTATTATCAAACTATGTCAAAAACTGAAAAACATATATATTTATTGTTGCTGCATTGATAGCAAATGAAAGCTAAAATCTATACGGCTGAGGTTTCCCACTGTGTTACTAGTGGGACGCGGCATTAGATCAGCTGATTTGCTCGTTAGCTGCTCATTAAACACCTTCAAGAGGATGTTTGAGGTGTTTGTTGATTAAGGAGCTTTTATTGAGGTAAACTAATCCATTTATTGAGGTAAATTAATACATTTATTGGGGTAAATTAATACATTTATTGAGGTAAATTAATACATTTATTCAGGTAAATTAATCAATTTATTGAGGTAAATTAATCATTTTATTGAAGTAAATTAATACATTTATTAAATTGAATAAATGTATTGACAATTCATTTATTGCAGTAAATTAATACATTTATTGACTGCATTTATTGAGGTAAATTAATACATTTACTGAGGTAAATTAAAACATTTTTTGAATTAAATAAATAAATGTATTGTTTTAATGCATTTATTGAGGTAAATTAATAAATTTATTGACAATGCATTTGTTGAGAGAAGCTGATTTTGGCTACCTATTCGCCAACTTTTGTAGTTCATTCTACATTTAAGGTGCCTCAGTGTAACTGCAGCTCCATTTAAGGTGGTACGGAAAATTCAGATGAGAATCTGGTGAATAAGAAGCTGACCTCAGCTTTATATCTGTCTGAGTTTTTTATTTAAGAGCTTTCGCAGTTTTTGTAGCCACTTTTATTAGTTTTTATAAAATCTAACACACTGCAACAGGGCTGGGCGATAAAATGATAACGATAATTATCGCGATATAAATTGTCCTCGATAGAGCGATACGATGTTCGATAAATGTTCGATATAATACACTACTCTCACACTTCCACGTTCAGCGAAAGCCTTGGTGGCGTTTTCTGTTGCAAGGAAAGCGACACTTCTGTGCTGTCACCAGGAGAGGGCGCACTTCCGAGTTTTTCTACATGATTAGAGAGGGAGGGGGCCACGAGTAAGAGGAGTCTTTAGCAACGGCTGAAACGCGGAGTTATACATTCCCTGTTTGAGTGGAGCGACCGGCGATCTGTTCTCCTGTGACCGAGTGTGAGTGACGAGGTCAGTGGTGTAACTGTACTGTCCTACAGCGAACTCACCTCTTTCCGTACATCCTAACCAGCTTTAGCAGTGTTAAATCACAATCACAATCCTCACAACTAAAACGCTCGGACAGTCATATTTAAATTGCATTCCAAAGCAACAAAAGTTAAAGAAAGAAGTGGGTTCATGTAAATTACAGCCCTGATTTAAACGAAAGTAAACTGAGGAAGCTGTGAGGCATCGGAGAGCGGGAGAGCGCTAGCTTTCCAGGCTAGCTGTTTTTAGCAGCTGGCTAACTTGAAGCAGCACGGAGAATTGATGATACTGTAGATCAAACAAGACACAAAAGCATCGCTTTCAGTTTACACGTACCTAAAAGGAGGACTCTGTCTGGTGTTAGATATTTTGCGGCTCACCCCTTAAACTACTACAATTGAATATCCAGTCGTCGCTAGCTGGTGTCTGAATACTGTGATGTCATTTGTAACGAGGTAGCTGAGCGCTCATCACCAGCTAAACATAATCTGTCTTCTTTCTTAAATTATGACTATTACAAAATAGCCATGCTTTTCCAGCTGATAAAAACAGCTCTCCAGACACTTTCTTCCACTCTCCCATGACAGATTTGTGAAATGTTCCACTGTTTGGCGAGGGTTTGTCGTGTTCCGACCATAAAGGATAGTTTAAAACAGCAATTAACCACCCAGGAGCAAAAATCAGCCTTTAAACTTGAAAGAAATAATGATTTGACATTTATCGTGGTATGTATCGATATTGAACGATAAGAATTTTGTTTATCGTGATAACATTTTTGGCCATATCGCCCAGCTCTACACTGGAATGTTCTGAACTCTGGAGGTGTGTAGGTTGTACGGATCCACCCCTCTAGCTAATCTTTTCCTCATAGTGTTTTCTGGAGATGCATCTAAAGTGTTTTTGTGGTCATTGTGGTCTGTTTTGTTGGTGTTTATCCACCCGCAGAGCTGTATCTGCAGTAACGGTGATGAGACAAACTCTATCAGAGCACAGAGTTACGGCTCGCCTACCAACAAGGAGATGCGCTCTTCTTCATGATTCAATACAACGCTGTGAATTGGCAATCAAGCCAATAATCAATTATGTGACTGTATTATCTGTGAAAACATGAAGATCAGATCGGTATTGGCCGATACTCAACATTAAAGTACCCTGATCAGATTAGTGGACCAAAAAAAATGGATTGGCACATCTCTAGTTTTGACCATATCTAGCAAGTTTTATTTGTGTTTATTGTTCTGATGTTTTGAAGTTTTGCCTGTGCTGAGTTATGTTTTTATTTGTGCTATTTTTCCTTGTATTTAATGTTAAAATTCTTCATTGAACACTTTGGAGGGGTCTAAATATAGGCTGTGCTCTTTGCCATGCAGGTCAGGTTAAGCGATGTGGCGCTTGTTTTATGTTTTGCCTTTTGACTGCCTTAACTTTAAATTAAAATATGGATTTTTATGATTAATGTGAAGTGAATGGGGAGCCGTCCCTCTCTGAGTTTTATCGTTAATGACGCTGGAGACGCATGAATTATCTTCAGATTTATTTAGGCCATAACTGTAACTGTGCTGAGTGAGTGAGTGAGAGTGTCCTTCCTTTTTGTTCTTCCTTCTTTATCCCTCTTTCCATTGTCTGAGTGCCGAGCAGTGATAACAATCTTTCACTCCACTCATTAGAACCGGCCTCTGTGGGCTCAGAGCTCCAGCAGGTTCTCTGTCTGTGCTCCAGGACTCAGTGATGGGCAGTTTAGTATTTGTTAGCCATTTCTGCTTTGTTTCTATCACATTTAAAGTCACATTCAGTCTACACTCTTAAAGACGGTTCTTTAGTAAAGGGACGGGTTCTATGTAGAACCATGAAGCTCTATATAGAATC